TTCATTTATTGTACTATCTAGTAATGAAACCACCTCAACAATACGCACCAACTTTCATTGGTGAGATTCCTTTAGGACCATTTCGAGTGGAAGAATACAGATCAACAAACTTTTTCAATGATTATGTTGATGCCATTATTGACTATTATTATACTCTGAATACGAGTGATTATATTCCAAGTAAAGTCATATTCACCCAAGATAGAAGTGATGATTACTATGATCGCGTGGACGCTCCCCCTCAAGTCGAAGTAACCCTCATTAATTACCAAGACAGTAACATTGATTATGAAGATCGATTCGACGTTTCTGGTTGCTATGAACAACCTGGAAACTTCACTTGGTTTCAACTTCTCTTTTCAAACCCTTATACGAGTGAATACAATCTTGAACAAATCAAAGATGAAACAGAAGAATACTTGGCTTCATTCATTCCAATAACTCGAATTGGTGAAATTCATGCACAACAAGCTGATTATAATATATATGTTACTGTTAAGCTTTATGATCGTGTACATTTCATTGAGGCTTATCGTCGTTTTTTTAACAGAAAAATTATGAATCCTTCAAATATCGTAAAACGATTCAAAGTCGAGGATTGTGAACAACTGTGCAGTTCAACTCAAAATTGTTTCCATTTTAGTTATTGTTCGGATTATGATTGTTCAATTTTTGTTCAAACAAATCTTTATTATGAGAATGCCGACACAGCCCACAAAGAGGACTGCAAATCTTATTCAAGAGATTCAAAGGTTGATGTTACACCATTGGTTAGAACAAATTATTTGTCGACAATACCACACGTATTACAACAGATAAGGAATAAAGTCTCAGCAGGCGAATTTCGTTTAGACAGTATTGGACTATCAGCTGAAGATTTGTTCGTTGTGAGTGGGCCTGAAGAGATTGGCGGTATTTCTCAGGAACTACATTTGAGGGGTTCCAGGCCATTGAGAACTGATGATTTTCCGATGATAAACACTAATCGTCTTTTCAATGAAGCACAATTCAAGATGGAGAAAAGTACCCTTCAAGATTGTTTCATGGCTTGTTTAAATGACGATGATTGTAATACACTTTCATATTGTATCGATCAGAATAAGGAATGTATTCTGAGTGGAGAAACATCGAGTTCATTGAAAGACGCACTTGATGACAAAACAAGTCATGCAGATGGATGCAACATCTATCAAAGTAAATATACTGTCACATTAATGCAATTTGTATTTCGTATATTAATTTTTTTCTTCAATCTCAATTTAGAATCATTTATGAATCTATTCCATGAGTATCCTGGCAAAAGTCTAGTTCTTGATGCCATCTTAACCATAAAAAATGTACCAATTGGTGACTGTGCTAAAAGATGTGCTCAATCAAATGATTTCAATTGTGAATCATTTGACTATTGTCAAGATAATGATCAACGGTAAGTCGAAGCTTCAATTAACCTGATCAGAATATTTTTAATTTCTTAGATGAACCATGAACTTGAATTTAAACCATAATTATTGTTGTAAAATCAAATCGCTCACAATCATGACAATTGACTGAATTATAATACCGGAACAAATTTCCGATGAAAGCTGTTGAATTATTTTTTTATTTTCAATTAAAAGAGATGAAATTACTATTAATAATCTTTTGAGCATGGTTACAGCTTATGATAATATATTATTAATAATGATACTTTTAAAGTCATTTTGATTTTATTTTTGATTGCATTTATGAATAGTTTTAATGAATTTTAATTTTGTTTTGGTCCCGATTCCTTATACCCGAAACAGAAATGAAACTATTTGCTTCTTACATGTTAACCACATTGAGGTTGATAAAGTTCATCAAATAAATGCGACAAACTGGAAGTTGGCTGAATCTGGATGTTCCCATTATTCAAGTGAGAACCTTGACTTAAATATTGTTTTAGATCTGATTAATATTTACTAATTGTCCAAACTTTTTTGCTTGAATAGAAAAATTTGAACTTGATTATGAACACAAAGTTGGACTTGCATTGAAAGATAATATGAAAGAATCAATTGTTGCAACCTTTGACCATTTATCATTAGAACACTGTGCTTCCAGATGCAATTCAGATCCTAATTGTTTTACTCTTGAATTCTGTGAAACAATTTATTATAAGAAAATTGCCGATAGTAGTGTTCCGTTAACGAGTTGTTCATTGACCAACTTGAAGCCAAGTAATGCCAATCAACTTGGGCTCTTTGAAGAAACAAAAAGCAACAAAATTTGTTCAATTTACATAAATCACAATAAGATCACAGGAAAAAGTAAAACTGATCCACAGCCATCTGCATTAATAACTAAATCTGAATCATCAACTAAATCGGGCAATTTGAAGATAGCAATTGGATTGGGGACAATAGTCTGCTTAATGGCGTTTGTTGGTGGATTCATTGGATATAAATTTGCTGCTAAAAAAGGAGTCATTTCATAAACTAACTTATCAGAGGAAAACTGAAGATGAATGTTTATGAATCATTCATTCTTGATCAACATGATACATTTTTGCAATATATTATGTAGTTTATTTTGTATCAATGCAATGTAATGTAGCTCTTTATAATACTTTTTATACTTCAATGCTTCCAAAGGTCTTGTTTGTTCTGGTATTGCTTTTTAAAACGATATAAATAATATTATCATTGAGAAAAAAAGAATTTCTGCTTTATTTCCACTCGGGTCAAAACTCAGTCTGAACAATTAGCATCGAATTATTTACATTTAGTAGAAATATGAATACTATGAATCCTTAAGTTAACAAAATCGCAGGTGTTTTTCATAGTCAGTAGTAAATGCAAGTACCAATAAAATGGAACTTTATTTTTTGAGTGTTGTTTTTTTCAAAAAAATGTGTTCGAGATTCTGACACATAAAAATTAACTTAATTCTGATCATTCATTCCAATAACTTGCATTGGTGAAACTCATGCACAACAAGTTGATTCGAATGTATATGTTACTGTTAAGCTTTATGATCGTGTACATTTCATTGAGGCTTATAGTCGTTCGAATCAATATACTATTATGGAACCTGCAAATATTGTGCAAAGATTCAAAGTTGAAAACTGTACAGAACTTTGCAGTGCAAACCCATACCCCATCTTGACCAGAAAATATACAAACCAGGATGCACAAATTATAAAAGATGGGTAACGGAGGGAACTCCATCCCTCGATACTATAATAAGTATTCGTTGACAATGCCACACGTATTGCAACAGATAAGGAATAAAGTCTCAGCAGGAGAATTTCGTTTAGACAGTGTTGGCGACAGTTGAAGATTTGTTCATTACGAATTGACCTGAAGAAATTGGTGGTATTTCCCAGAAACTACATTCAAGCGATATCAAACCTTTAAGAGCTGATGATTTTCCAATGATTTTCCAAAACACTAATCGTCATCTCAATAAAGCACAATTCAAGATGGAGAAAAGTACTCTTCAAGATTGTTTCATGGCTTGTGCAAATGATGATGATTGTAATACACTTTCATATTGTGTTAACCAGAATAAGGAATGTATTCTGAGTGGAGAAACATCGAGTTCATTGAAAGACACACTCGACCACAAGACAAGTCATGCAGATGGATGCAATATCTATCAAAGTTCATATAGCGTTACGTTAATTTCAATTTCTTGAATGAATTTTGTTCCTATGAATCATTTATGAATCTATTCGATGAGTATCCTGGCAAAAGTCTAGTTCTGGATGCCGTCTCAACCATATCTAATGTACCAATTGGTGATTGTGCTAAAAGATGTGCTCAATCAAATGATTTCAATTGTGAATTTGAGCAACGACAATCAACGAATCATCCGGACCAATCCTGGAGATTGCTAGTGAAAAATGAGTGAAAAATCGGTTTATAACTCATAAACCAGACGAAATGAAGATTTTGATAAGTTTACATGCAAAATGTTTGCAGATAAT